AAACATCATAATATGCTACAGAGTTTGGACAAACATTTAAATGCTTTTCCTCATTAATCGAAAAAAGAGTAAATTTATCTTGATATAAGCCCTAAAAATCTATAATTTATTAAAAATGACTAGAAAAAAAAAAGATATGAACTGTGAGGGTATCTGAGCCATTTTCGAGTTATTTCAACAAAAAATTTTACTGATTATATCAAACTACAGCTTCGTTCTGGGCTCAAAATAAGAGTTGATTTCCTCTGGTATTTCCCACATTAGTCCCTTAAATCTTTTAATGTTACTAAATACACCCCGAGTAAGATAAAATCACCGTTAAAGATTGAAGTGGAAGATGAAGGTACCTGAAACACAAATCTTCGCGGTTGGAGAGAATTCTTGGACAAAGAAATCAGAAGGGGATAGGGCGGGCTCAGGGCCTCAGGCTCAGGCTCCGTACTAATGGATGGAAGAGACGGGAGCTTATTTTGGGCTTCATTGGGCATTGCTCAGTGGGCTGCATTATTTATACCATATTTTGGGTTCAATTCGTCCTATTTATATCGGTTCTTTGGTCTAAAATTGGGCCTGCTGTCCTGTCAATGCAAAACTGCTGCAAAGAGTGCAGGGTTCGTCTACATTGGTCCCTTTAAATGCTTTAATATTATGAAATTAGCCCCTCATATCATTGCTATAAGGTCCCTTGATTCTTTAGTTGTTTTAGAGTTAGTCCCCTTAGATCATTGAAATTGCTATCATGCCCCCAACACTAAAAAAAGTAGTAATAACTAGACTGCACTTTGCAAACTACTCTCAAACTACTACGCCCAAGATTGCGGGGGTCCTCAAAAACTCATCAACTTTGATGCCAATCAAAGTTGGAAGGATCCCACACTTTTGTGTGCAATAGTGTAGGAGTAGTTTGTAAAATGTAGTCTAGTTATCAATACTCTTCTAATAACTCGTTTCAAACTAATCCCTACAATTAAGGAGTAATGGTAGCAAGATATAAGAATTAAGGGACTTAATAGCAATTTCGATGTAATGAGGGACTGATTTCAAAATATTAATAGTTAAGGTACTAGTATCTAAAATGACCAAAAATGTATTAATGAAATATCTCGGAATGACTAGTAAAAAAATCTCAGAATAATTATATGGTGTGAAAAAAAAATGTATATGTGTAGTGTAAAGTGGGTAAAATTTTACATTATACTACCAAAGAATGCAATATTTTTCAACTAGGGGAGAGGAAGTTTGCGGAGGCAAAAATTAGGACGGAAGTACTATCCACTTGATGTGATATACCCTAAAAGTTCCATAATTTTGGATTTTCTTTATTTCTTATCTGTGAGTGGAAACACTAGTTTTTAGGCCATAAAAGTATTCAATTATAGACATGATAATTATGATTTAATTAGTTCATGTGAACATATGTATATAACTCTTATCATATTTTATGTAAAATTACACTCGATCTTATTTTCATGGGCTAGCTGCAAATAGACTCTGTGCACTATTTCTCGATTTGTGTATAGACTCCTTGTGGTTTCATAGGTTCAGATAGACCCCGTCTAATATTTGCAATTCAGAGGTCCGTCAACACAAATAGAGCTATAGGGGGCTATCAGCACTTGCACTATAATTAGGGGGTGTATCCATAATTAACCTTTTTTATTCAAATAAATTCATAGCCGTTGCGACCATGATAGATGGTAATTACAAAGAAAGATATGAAATTCTACTATATTTGCCCATGCAGTCCGGATTCAAGCTTTATTGATGTTTTTATGGCCTCGTTTGGCAAAGGGTTAAGAAAGTGGGATTAAAGAGAATGATTAACGTAGTTAGCCCATTCGATAACCTAATTATTAACCTGTTAAATAAGTTTTATTTTAGCCATTGTGGTCAGTTTTAGTGTTTGAGAAAAATAAGGATTTTGACTGTTTTCTTTATAAATAAAAAAATTAACTTTTAATCCTTCTAAATACGAGTATTAGTAAACCACTCATTTTGAGAGATTAACTCATTTTAATCCCTTTAGAGGGGTTAGCCTAACCCTTATGCATTTTTTGCATTTGGCAAATTATGAAGGATTAACTCATTTTAACATTTCTATAAAATTTTTATGTTTAGAGGGTTAAGAAAGGTTTAAGTTTCCTTAACCCCCTCACTTAACCCATTACCAAACGGCACTATGAAGAGCAAGTTTATAAAAAGAAAAAAGAAAAGGAAAAGGAAAAGTCGAAGGTAAATAATAGTATTAAATCTTTTAATACTCTGAAATTAGCCCGTACACTTCATTGCTATTAGGGCCTTTGATTCTTTAGTTGTTTATACCATTAAAATTGCTATCATGCCTCCCAATTCTGATAAATAATCCCTATAGTTAGGGAGTAATGGCAGCAAGATAAAAGAAATAAGGGACCTAATAGTAATTTTGAGGTCACGAGGGACTGGTTTCAAAATATTAAGACTTAAGGGACGAGTAGCTAAAATTGTATTATTGAAATATTCCAGAATGCACGGGAAAAATAATCTCAGAATAATTATATGATGTAAAATAATTTAGAAAGGTATATGTGTGTAGTGTAAAGTAGGTAATTTTTGCCGGTCGACCGCGAGATCAGCTGCGGTCGATCAGAAACGTGCACAGGTCGAAGCAGGTTTCTGGAGTTGGGAGGGTCAACCGCCGGGGTTCGGTTGACCGGCCAAACCTTGTAATGTTTTTTATTTTTGTCGATTTCTGGGCGGTCGACTGCGACGAATTTGGCGGTCGACCGCCAATCGGGTTTTGAGTTGGGTTTGGATTTCGGACCCGTTTCGTTATGAGCTGATATATAACCCTAAACCTGATTAATTAGGGTTAAGTAAGGACGATTTGAACAGTCTTTAAGAGAGGATTGTTGCATCCTTTGTGGGAGGATTTATGAGAGATCTAGAGAGCTTTATTTGAGGGTTTTTGGTAAGATTTGAAACCCTATTTGTAATTCTATTTATCTCTAATAGTAAAAACTCCCCCCTTATTGTCCCGTGGACGTAGGCAACTTGCCGAACCACGTAAATTGGTTTGTCTTGCTGTGATTGTGATTTGTGCTTGTGTTTTGGTTATGATCTTTCTCGTTCTTGTTCGTGCACTATTTGGCTTTCGAGTTCCGCTGCGCACATGTTTGGTGGAAAATTTGTAGTAAAAAGAATGAAAGAAAATTAACTTGTATTCTCTCGATCTTAATTATAATTTTGGTTTCCCGATTACAAAAGAGAGGAAAATGATCTCGATTCTCCCCTTTGTTTAGTTCTGGGTTCTTTACGGTGGCGATGGAGTGCCTCCCTCGAATGCTCGCGTCGGGTTTGCTCTCCGTTGACGATCCGAACGTCTTGATTCACTAGAACGATATCTTCTCCTCACGATTTGACGTTGTGGAGAACTTGCCTGGTAAGTTTTAGAACTCTTAACGAGTTTGAAACTCTATGAAAGAGTTAATTTAACCGAAGGACGATTATAAGCCAAGGATGAAGAAGGTCCTGTTGCCGATCTCCAAAGCTCCAGCAATTCCCCAAAAAAGCTAGCTGAATATCTCTTCTTTGCTGCCAAACTCCAGGGTCAATCTAAGCCAAGAAGTTCTAACCATTAACTCGGTTGAGTTTCTTCTTATTTATAGGGGATTAAGGGGGTGTAACCGCCCCTTAAATCACTCCTAAGTGGGGTGTAACCGCCCCCAAATCGTGGGAAACGGTTTTGGAACCGTTCAAGGGTTTAAAGGGTGTAATCCCCCCTAAAATCTCTCCATAATGGGGTGTAACCGACCCCATTAAGTGGAGATACGGTTTGAAGACCGTTCAGGTTCTGTTTGAACCAGTCGAATGCAAAAAACGCGGGTCTGACCCCCGTGGGTTTGACCCTCACGTTTTAATGTTACAACGCGGGTTCGACCCCTGCGTTTTGATGTTACAACGCAGGTTTGAACCCTACGTTTTGATATTGCAACGCGGGTTCGACCCCTACGTTTTGATGTGGCAACGTGGGTGTAGACATTAAAAAAATGCCAAAATTCGAAAGTTGAAAAGAGAGGTCAGGGAAACGAACCCCTTTTCAATAAGAAACGAGGTTCGTTGTTTAGAAAAAGAATCAACCTCGAAAACGAGAGTCGCCATGCAGCGGAACTCAACGTTGAAAGATAAAGTTCATTATTGAATGAAACGGAGCCACGAAAGTCGGAACTCGTCATTGGATACGAGGTTCGAGGTTCACTAGCGGATACAGGGTTCGAAGCTCGTCGTTGGACACGAGTTGAACTCTAGCTACCAAAGATGAACATCGTCATTGGATACGAGGTTCGAAGTTCATCATCGGAGGTAAAGTTCGTCAATGAAAACAAAGCTTGTCATCAGATTTAAAGCTCGTCAGTGAAGACGAAGCTCACGAGGCTCGCCACGCAGCAAGGCTCGACATCAAAGACGAGGCTCGCCACGCAGCGAGGCTCGACATTAAAGATGAGGCTCGCCACGCAGTGAGGCTCGACATCAAGGACGAGGTTCGCCAACGCAGTGACGTTCGTCACCCACATTAAATCAGGCTGTAACGGTCACGAAGACCTAATTAGCCACATGGGCTAAATTCAAGGAGTCAGTTACGCCACGACTCCACAATTGCAGCGCATCAGTTACGCTCACGACTCCACGATTATAGCATGTCGGTTACATGCTCAAACTCCTATAAATAGCCATCGATGGCTACATAGAAAGAGTTCGGTTGATTATTCTTGATTGGAGATTTTCAAGCTTGGACTTAGAGAATCATCAGAGCTTAAAGTTTCTGCACGTCAATCCGGAGTTCGAACCTCGATTCCAGCCGGTTAACCTACGTCAGAAGTTCTTACGATCATGGTCTGATCGTCAACGGGAGGAAAGCTCGACTCAAGCATCGGGGGAAGCATCCTTTCGTCACCTAGAACCCACCTTTAAACAAAAGAGAATCTGAATTAATCTTCTCTTCCTCTGTAATCGAGAGAGAGTGAGTGATTGTACGGGTTCGTACCAAGTGATCGAACCCAGTTTTCTTAAAACAAGAGAATCAATCAATCTTAAATTTTTCGACCCTACAGTGGGTTCGACCCCTGCGTTTTGATGTTGCGACGTGGGTTTAACCCCTGCGTTTTGATGTTGCAAAATGGGTTTGACCCCTGCGTTTTGATGCTGACACACGGGGAGGACCTCCGCGTTTTGGTGTGGCAACGCAGGGAGGACCTATGCGTTTCGTTCTGGAAACACAACCACGAGCTATGTACTTTGAATCTGGGACGCATAGATGAGCTCTGCGTCTGGATATGAAGAGACCGTCAATTTGTAGTCTCTTTTACTAGAACGTTGCAAAGACCGTCATCTTGTAATCTTCGTCTTGGCTCCTTTGAAATATGTAGTCTCTTTTACTAGAACGTTGCAAAGACCGTCATCTTGTAATCTTCGTCTTGGCTCCTTTGAAATATGAGAGTCGTCAGATTGTAACTCCCGATGTTGATTGTGAAGGCTGTTGATTAGAGCTTCCATCAGTTGTTATGAAGGTCGTCAGATTATAACCTTCAGTGATCTACGTGAAAGTCTTCAAACTGTAGCCTTCTGAAAGTCGTCAGATTGTAACTTCCATCATCGGTGTTTGATGGGTGATCAGCTATCTATTGTGATTTTTAGATAGCCTACAGCACAACAACAAGCTCCATAAATTCGGATCTTCTTTACTTCTTATATATGAGGGAAATTAGACTAATTTTTATAATCATGATAATTATGATTTAGTCCATGTTTACATATGTATATACATGTATATGTAAGTCACTCTTATCATATTCTCTATAAAATTGCGGTCGTTCTTATTCTCAAATAGACTCAATGCACTATTGCAATTTGCATAGAGACTCCTTATAGTTCCATTGTTGTTGCAGATAGATTCCCTTTAACTAATTGCCATCCCCAAAGTTTTGATTTTTTTTTAAACTCTTAATAAAGTTTAAAAAAATTTCATTCTAGGGTTTGTTAACACAACTAGAACTACAATGGTCCATCTGCACTTGGGCTATATATAGTATAGAGGGTCTATCCGTCATTAACCTTTTTTAGTCAAATAAATTAATTGCCGTTTACTCCCGTTTGGATTGATTTTTTAAAGCTGAAAAATGGGGGAAAGCTGCCAACAATATCAGCTTTTTCGCAGCTTTCCCCCAAAATCACCTCTTAAAGAGACGATTTTGGGGGGAAGTTGCCAAAAAGGCTGACATTTTTGACAGCTTTCCCTTATTTTACAGCTAAAAAAAACAATCCAAACGGGCCCATATAGATGGTAATTACAAAGAAAGATACGAACTTCTACCATATTTATTGCACATGCAGCTCGGATCCAAGCTCTACCCGTGTTTGGGTCAGCAAGCCTAAAATTTAAGAAGAAAGAAAAGGAATTAAGAAAAAGTAGACGGCATATTAATTTCGTCCAAAAAGAAAACATTGCAATTTAGGACGGCGTAATTAAGAAATTAAGGGACTAAGTAAGCTGAGCTGGCAGTTACCGACCGGTATAACGACCAGTCAATCGAAACCCCAAACTATGTAATTACAGAAAGCGAAGCCCATCCTCCATTCAAGAACCTAACAAGAACGTAGTATAACAAATTAATTAGAGATCACTGCCTGCACCCTCTCCTCCTCCTCCTCCTCCTCCTCGAGATGAACGATATTGCTCGGTCCATCAGCAGCACCGGCCTGCAGCAGATGCTGCAGCTGGCTGTGCAGAGCGTGCAGTGGACTTACAGCATCTTCTGGCGTCTCTGCCCACGGCAAGGGTTAGTTAGCAATTAAATAAATGTCATGTATGTAATTGATTAGCACTGTAATATTATCCACTTAAGCATATGTAGGATCATTAGATGCATGCATGTTTAATGTATACAAGGGCTGCATCTGCAAACATTAATATTTGATTAAAAACCTCTACCTAAGTAAGCAATGCATCATGTACTTGTGAAGGATTCTGGTGTGGGGAGATGGCTACTACAACGGAGTCATAAAGACTCGGAAGACGGGCACGGAGGAGGCCGTGCCTGCAGAGAAGCCAGAGCTGAGCGCGACTCTACGCGCTCTGTCAACAGGCGAGGCCAACCAGCAGGCGGCGCAGGCCATGCACTGCCCTGTCGCCTGAGGACCTGACGGAGTCAGAATGGTTCTATCTCATGTGCGTCTCCTTCTCCTTCCCTCATGGGGTTGGGTAAGTAGTTAATCTTCACAGTATTGTTTCGAGAATAAAACTATATCAATCCTCAATTTTCACTTTTTTTTTTTTTTTTGTGTAATAGATAGAAGGGGCTTCAGTTGTTCAGGTTCAAATGTTGTTGCTTACTGAATCAACACAAATTTAGAAAAGTACTACTGCGTGAGTCCAGATTTTTATCCATGCCTCCACGAGGAGGCATGCCTGAATATCATATGTGCTTGTATCTTGGAGGTGTGGAGGGAACAAAGACTAGAGTTTATGTTTTTGTGTCTTCTTTTATTTGGACTGGGTTTAGATCTATGCCGAGTAATATTTTCAAAGATAAACACAAGTTTTGAAGTAGTTTTGAATAGTTTGTCACATATTTGTCCCATAAAATGTGGCAAATAAATATGTATTAGTGCAGGTTACCAGGTAGGGCTTTTGAGAGGCGACGGCCAGTTTGGCTCACGCATGCAGATGAGTCTGACAGCAAAGTTTTCTCAAGGGCCATTCTAGCAAAGGTACTTAAATCCTTGAGATGCCTGCCAATAATTGTTCATCATAGTAAAACATTTGCCAGGCTTTGGCATTTTATTTCCCAATTCCAAAAACTGACATCCCTATCTATTCATTCTTCGACGAACGTAAATGACCAATAGAGCGCTTGCATTCAGGTTCCACCTCTTCTGAAAGACCCAACTTATCTTTTTGCTGAGAAAAATATTATTACCAAATTTTTTCTCCCTCCATGTTTGATATTGCAGACGGTGGTGTGCATTCCCCTCGTGCACGGGGTTCTTGAACTTGGCACTACAGAGAATGTGAGTCCTGATTATCTCCCACTTCAATTCTGCAAGGCAATAGATATGATGTGCTGATTTGCGGTACTTGGGGGCTTACTTGGTTAATAAGAAACAGAGCTACAACACCAAGTTAATTTTTTGTTCCAGTTTTTGGTTACCTAAACGATAATTTGGGTTTCATCGAAGAATATTGCACCATCTGTTGCCGTCAATTTGGTTGTCCCCAACAAAATGTTGCAAGATTGTGATAGATAAAAAAATTAAAATTAAAAAAATAAAAACAATGTCATGACCTACCGTGTGATCAATTAGTGAACTCCAAATCCAAAAATGTAAAATCATTTTAAGATTTAAGCTAAACAAACTTGATTGGCAAGGAAGATATATTCCATACAACAAAATATGCAAATCCAACAATTCTTGCAATCCAAACTTTGATTTTACAGTTGAAAATACAATTCCGATAACTAAGGTAAAGATGTCCCAATGGTGAGCTTGAGGCTAATTTCCTGCAAATAATTTTGCATGGAACATTTTTATCTGCTACATTTGATGCACTTAGAATTGCAGCATACCAGACAACCTCTTACAGATGCAACAATGTTGATATTATTGGTTTGTAACAAAAACAAAATGAGAAACTTAACTACCAATCTATAATTATACCTAAATGAAAATTTTATGTTGATTGATCAGTGAGAAAGTGAACATTGACAATACCAATAACATAATTCTGAAACTGGGTTCACAGTTTTAGAGTCTATTGTCACCACGTAATAGTAGATGAATCTGTTAGAACAAAATGAGCCCATTTTTTGGAAAATCCTTTTTTTTTTTTTTTTTTTGAGAAATCTCCAACAATATCCATATCAATCATCAATGGCAACCTTAACTCATATCTAACAGGTTGAAGAAGATATGGAACTGATCCAGCTCGCCAAGAGTTTCTTCACATATCAACATGATCATCGTCCAAGGCCTGCTCTATCAGAGCACTCCGCCTCGAACTCCATGGCACAGAATTCAGATCAACACATGTTCCATCTTCAACCAACACCACCAATACCCCAACCGGAAACTTTAGACCCTCATGAACTCAATCATGAAAATGAAAATGATGGCGATACCGATGGTGACAGTGTTTATGAAGATGATGATGTAGAAGTAGGAATAGATACAGAATCACAAAATGAGATGTCAGAGGGTTTACAGCTTGGTTCCCTAGATGATTGCTCAAACAGTTTGGATGCAGAAATACAAATACTGATGGCAGGTAATACAAGCAGCAGCCAATCTGACCATCTACATCCCCAGTACAACTCCAACAGAGCATGGCATCCCGTACATGAAGAATTATGCAGTGGGTTTCCAAAATCATCAGGTATCAGACATGTGACAGAAACTATTTCTATAACAGCTAAATGATCATAGCTTTATAATAATTAGTCTGACTCTTTGGTTTATCACTTCTTGGGGAAAAAACACTATAAATGTTTAGTGCCAATAAATCTAAATTTAAAGAAATTATAACCACGGATAATCGCATCAAATGGGTTTCACTGTTAGATCTATGGGACTATAAACACTGACATAATGTGCGTGCATGCGTTTATGTTCCTCATTGTTACATGCATTACTTATTTTTCTATTTTCTCCGTGGGTACAACTCAAATCCAAGAAGTATCAGCAGAAGATGCCCATTACTCAGAAACAGTTTCAGTAATCCTCAATAGCAACTTAAGACGGAGTGAGCAAAACACCCTTACTCAATTGGCTCAGTCTCGTAGATCAATATTTTCTACTTGGAGTTACGAAGATCATATCCTTAATCCAATTTCATATGAAGGCACTTCACAATGGCTGCTAAAAAATATCTTATTTCGTGTCCCTAATCTCCATTTCAAGGACAAAATTGGAAACTCGCCCAGGGTAGAAGTGGGAGAAGGAGGGAACAGATTCCGTAAAGGTACACCGCAGGAGGAACTAAGTGCTAATCATGTGCTTGCAGAACGTAGAAGAAGAGAGAAGCTGAATGAGAGGTTCATTATCCTTCGTTCATTAGTTCCATTTGTGACTAAGGTATGACACTCAATTGCTTATATGAGATATTGCACTAAGATACATCACCTGTTTCAGTGCGTACGAAATCAACGTGTCAGTTGTGGATAATTTGAGAGCTAGCTAGCAACGTTCTTACTATTGAATTTTAGGGGAAACTCCCCCTTAAACTCATTTTGGCCTAAACCAGTTCAGTTCTAGACCACCTTCCTCCTGGTCTAAAAGCCAAACTTTTAACTGAAAGTAGTTCAAATCTGGTTCAGTTTTTTTGCCAAACTGAATTCTAGCCCTTAACCAGATAAGTTCCACAAAACCTAGTTAGTAGGAGAGTTGCCAAACAGACCCTTGGATTTCTATGTGGTTTACTTACTAACATGGCTTCATGTTGGCGTTGGAAAATGTGGCAAAAAGCTAAATTTTGTCTCTTCATCGTCACATTTTGTTATAAACATAAAAAAATTTAGTGAGATAAGGCAACAGTTCATTCACATGGATCGAATACATTGACATGTTTGTATTTGCTGCAGGTGGATAAGGCTTCAATCTTAGGCGATACTATTGAGTATGTAAAACAGCTAAAACGGCGAATACAAGAACTTGAATCACGAAACAAGATTACTGAGAGTGATCAGAAGTGCAAGGCAAGAGTTCATAACACAAGGAAGCTTAGAGTGGTGGAACACAGAAAATTAACAGAAAGTAAGTCAAGTACTATAACAGTGGAGGCCCTTAGTTCAAGTGTGCAGGTTTCCATAATCGACAACAATGCCCTTATAGAGTTGCAATGCCCTTATAGAGAGAGACTCCTGATGCACATAATGCAGACGTTAGATCAACTCAAGTTAGAGATTACTTCCATTAAGTCTTCTTCCGTTAATGGAATGCTCAGTGCACAACTACAGGCAAAGGTAGAGAATTGTTCCAGTTTCTTCAAACCTTCATAGGTGGTCAGTAACATTTCTGTTAACAATTTTTATTTACCCAATTGCAGGTGAAGGACATTGACAAGAAGAAGGCCAGCCTTGTTGAAGTAGAAAAGGCCATTTACCAGGTCTTCTCTCAATAGCGCATACTAGCTACGAAATAATCAAGGAATGAAAGCCAAAAAAAAATCCCAGGATACATAACCAAGCTTTAATCAACTTGTAGCAAAACTTACCTTAAAATCTTACGGTAATACAATACCTTGTCACTGTGATTGTTTGTGCTCACATTAGTAATTTCATTTTTGTGGTACCTTCTTGTGATTAGTTGATCAGGTAGATGTATACCATATTGTTCTTTAAGCAATAACGTTATTGGGAGACTTAAGACCTTCAATTAGGAGAACAATTACTTAATCGGCTATTTGTGTTCCATTTATTTCACTTTGAAGGAATGAATATAGCTAAGAGTCGAAGATGTAATGTTTTCCCTGCAGCATGCAGTTGCAACCCATCCATGTTTCAAAACATTTTTAGCAAAGTTACCACAATATATTTGATGTTCATTTTGAGTAGAGGAGCATGGGCACCCAAACATGAAATCAGATATACAGTTCGGGCTGATCACAAAAATATAGTAAGATGTAGGTTAGAGAGAAAAGTATTCTTTCAAAACAATTTCTCACTAGTCCTCTTCTCTCTGCAAACCCTTCTCCCTTATCCTTTTTTTTTACAATTTTCTCTAACACCTATGAGCTACTATTTTTTTCTTTCCATATTATTTTATTTCAACTAGCCTGACAAGATGAATCCAAGAAATGAAAAATGAACTGCTCCTGCGTATGTGAAACTAAGGAATTGCTGCTTAGTATGCGAAAATTGTGAGTGCAATCGTAATTACTGTCGTAATTTATAGAAGTTGAAGCTACAGAATAAACTATTTTTTTACTGCGTAATTGAAGCCTTTTACAACTGTAGTTGCAAAATTGAATCATTGTTCACAAAATTGACTTCTAGTTTTGGTTCCTCGACACGGTTTTCAACAACAATTGGTATCTGCGCACAACCGATGAAACACGGAGGCAGTCACCACTTCAATTCTATGTAATTGTATGTAGATGAAATCGTTAAGAGGACAGAAGCAAAGCAAAGAGCGTCACATTCATGTAAATATCATCAAACAACGGGCGAGATATCCAAACTCTAATTAGCTATATATATATTACACACAATTCAGGCTTTTCATTCCGTACGCATCATCGTATTACAGTAAAACGCCATTCGAATCGCAAGTCACAAAACAAGCGTAATAAAACTTTGGAAAAATAAAATAAAATAAAATAAAAATCACGCGGTGGGAAGAACCTTCTTGACAATCTCGTCG